TTTTGCGGTTCTCTAATTTTTAGAGAGAATTCAGCTAATATGTCATATTTGTTTCTTTCTGATATGGATGATGCACTGGTGTATCTTTTATATTTCTTGTGGTTTATTGAGAATTTGTTCTTAAAATATGCTAGAGAGCTGCTGAAAGAGGAGGTTACGGTGGTGAGAGGTATGAGCAGTTGGAGTTTCAGAAAAAGGTTGCCCTCTCTTACAAGGCCCTTCAGGATTCATCATGGAAGGTAAGTGACATTATTTTGGAAAATACTACATGCACTCCCATTTCTTACTCCCAATGTGTACTCCCTCTCACAAATTCTTGATGTAGACACATTCTCTGGGACCCATATGATGAAAATAGCCAATCTTTGTTTGCCATGTCATGGAGTACAAGTGAGGGATTAGAATTTGGGAGTACATGTAGTAGAACTCCATTATTTTTTAAGTATGGCCCAGTCTTTACCTTTAGGGGTAGTACAGAGAACAGACACTTATGCTGCATTTAGAGCTTTGATATTCAGTAGCAAGATCATAGGCCATGTCTGCCAGGATACCAAAATGCATTTAGTTTTCAGCTCAGCAATGCTTGTGATTTATGAATGAGTCTAGATGGGATATTGATTTGCCTATATTAGCCTTGTTTGGTAAAATAGTTAGCTTATCAGCCAATTTTGGCTTATTTGACCACTATTAGCTGTTTGACTTGGTTAAACAATCAATATGAGTGTTTGATTAATTAGCTTTTTGTAACAACTTATTGCTCCAAAATGCTAAAATCAAAAAGCTGTTCAAAGTAGTTTTTTCGATCAGCTTTTTGAGAAAATCATTTTGTATGTAATCAGCTAAAAGCTAACTTACCAAACACTTTTCTACAATAATGCTATCAACTAGTTAAAACCACTAACCCAATCAGCTAACTACCATTTACCAAACACCCCCATGGACCCATTTACTCGTAAGAACCACATTTGAATACAGTTTTTCCATGATGAAGCAGCAGAAAGTCCTAATCATAGATCCCTTTTTTTTCTTTTCTTTTTTTTTTTCTGATTTAGATAATAGATGCAACCCTTCCTATGGAAGACATTGAAAAAGAGCTGAGAGAAATTGTGGTGGAGTGCATGATAAAGTGCCAAGAAGGAAAACCCTTGTCGCTGCTGTGGTCGAGCTAAGTTTATGCCCTTTGTTGAGAGGATGCGAACTTCCATTATGTCTGTTATTTAGCCCTACATTTTCTCTTATGCCAGGCAGTCTTGGCAATGTAATCTATAATCAATTAATCATTATGTAGTCTTCAGAACATTAAAAATCCAAGGTTTGTTGTATGCTGCTCTGGGCTACCAATCTTTGCACTTTGTTGTTTTACTGTTGTTACACTGGGTACTCCATTACTAGCTATCATATTCTGTTATGTTTAAAGTGGACAGATTTCTTGTGTTTATTAATATTTGGACATGTCTGATGGGAAATTGAGTCACCGTAATTTACATCTTTTCAAATGCTCTGTCAAGTTGGGGTTGGGGATTCGACCTTTTGGGAGAAGAAAAAGTTTAAAAGAAGCATTTCAATGTGCTCAAATTCTATCCAAAGCAGAAAGCAGTACACATTGATACTATTCTGCAAATTAGTTTAATTCCTGCAGTTTCTAAACAAATTAAAGAATCCAGTCAAAATAGGAATATCTTAAATTCCAATAAGGGATTTAAGAGAATTGTTAATGGCCAGACAGCTAGTAGTGTGTACTGCAAGGTGAAGAGATTAAAAAATATAATCCATCCATTAATCCAATATATACAAATAAATAATAAACAACAAAACTTACAGCTTTATTCTACTTCATTATATCCAATAATATATATATATACACTTAATTCTAATATATACAAATAAATAATAAACCCTAAAAAATTGCTACTTTATTCATTAATATAAACATTAGTGACAATTATATATTCAATTATTTTCTTGGATTGACTAGTCATTAATTTGATTAATCTTTATCTAATCATTAAATCAAATTCATTTTGTATTAATTATTAGTTGACTGTATTAAAACTGATTATTAATCAAAACAAAAATTAATTAAATATGCTAAGGGTATATAATTAAGGAGTATTTGGTGAAAAGAGAAAATTTCAGTAGGGTTATCCTTTTTTATATAATTATGAACATAGAGTTGTGAACATAATTATGAACATATAATTCTGTAATTATGAATATAGAGATTCAATAATTGTGAATATGAAGTTCAAAAATTATAAATATATAGCTTTATAATTATGAACATATAGTTCCGTAATTGTGAATATAAAGTTCAATATTTATGAATATACTAGTTTTTAACGCGCATTGCGCGATTGGGATAATGCCCAATGATTTTTTTTAAATAAGTATTTTAAAGTATATTAAGGCAAGATTATATTGAAATTGTTCGTGCATAGATAATTGAAAGTTGAATTTGCGTATTTAAATAGGTAATTCTTCTCCCAAAGGTTGAGTCCCCAACCCCAAGGGCCCCCCACACTCCGACCCGGCAGAGCATTGTGGGAAGTTGTAAATCACGGTGACTCAATGGTTTAGCAGACCCACTTTGGACATAATTCCTGCATTGCCGCCGCCGAGGTTCAAACCTTGGTCTCTTCTCCGAAATACTACACACTACACCATTGAGCTAAGCTCGTGCGGTTTAAATAGGTAATTCTAAGTTTACAAATGCAAGATAATATAGTCAATATTGATTATAATTGTCACTAAAATAATTGTATAGGTATGGTTGAAACCAAATACGGGACATAAGGGAGAACAAATAAAAATTAGGGCATAAAATATTAAATATATACTAATATTGTTTGAGGAGATTCCGACATTAGGATTTGTGGTTAAGTTCTATTAAGACTTTAATATTAGAATTAAATTAATGGTGTAGTTATAATTCTATATTAGACTTTAATATTAGAATTATACTAACGGTGAATTAACGAAAAAGTTAAATGGATAATCATATAATTAAGGATAAATTAGAAAATCTTAAAAGAAAAAAATTAAAACCTGGCCTGAACAATATGAACCATTCATTTGATTTAATAATTTGGCGGTCATTTTTTCTACCCAATGTTAATAATTAAATAAATTCGCTGGTCAAATCCGCTAGTATAATCCGTTAATGCTAACAGCTGACTGCTGATTGTCAAACAAGGACATTGCGAGGTAGTTCTCACTTCAATTTGTTGTGTGATTTGAATACTCTCTTTGTCACAAAATCTCTCAAAAGTAGTTAACATGGTTGGCTTTATTAATTATATTTTTTTAATTTTTTCATGGTATTAATAAAATACTTGATAAATAAATATATAGCATTATTTTATGTTATAACTTTGATATTTAATTAGAAAAATAGTGCACAAAAAAAGATAATAGATAATGTAGTGAATATAATCAATTGATGAATTTGAATGTAAAAAATTTTACATTTGAGAAAAATAAAGATAATATAACTAATGAAAATATTTCTTTTAATTAATTTATTGATAATTAATAAATTTTTTTTCACTGAATAAAGACATTGTAAGGACAATGTAGCGAATATAATCAATTAATAAATTTGAATATAAAGAATTTTTATATTGAAGAAAACTAAAGACAATATAACTAATAAAATTATTTATCTTATTTAATTTATTGATAATGAATATTTTTTTTTTGAATAAAGACATTGTGGACACATAATTCTAAATTAAAGAAATGCATATGTATTATTTTTTGTTGTAACTACTAAATTATTATTTATATAATTTAATAAGGGTAAAATAGAGTACTAATTATGCCAACTTTGATTGGGATGAGGTTCGAACCTAAGACCTTTTTTTTTTATTGAAATCAATGAGTAAGTTAACGGTGAACTAACGGCAATTCTTAAAAGTTTAACGGAATTAGTAACGGTGTGTGGGTATTTTAGGAAATTTTAGTGTAAAATTTAAATCTGATCAATCTTTTAATCAATCTGAGCCATTCATTTGATTAAAATCTGTGACCGCCATTTTTTCTACCCATTATAGACCTAACTCTCTTGGGCTCTTATTAGTATAGTAGATAGTAGATATAGCTTTATAATTATGAACATATAATTCAATAATTATGAACATAGAACTGTGTCCACCTTGCACGGTGAACATGGTTCCACAGCATAACGATTGAAGTTTTTTGACAAGTTATTCTATGTACTAAGATCCACCTTGCATTGTGGATTCTAGTTCAAAATGTTATTCAGACTATGTGAATGCAATTAACATATAAATTAAAGATACATAATATCTTAAAATATGTTAACTGTAAATACATAATATGTTAATTGTAATAGGTACACAATTTATTAACAAAAGACACATAATATATTACCAATAGACACATAATATGAATATTGTCCCTTAGGGTTAGGGTGGGAAGAATAATATAAATATTGTTTTGGATTAGGGTACACAATGCAAGATGAACCATGGTCCATGATATAACAGTTGAGTCTTTGACTTTTTTTTTCTTCTTTTATCAATTCCTCAAAAGTCAAAACCTTCCATAATCCAAGAGTTTACAATGTAAGATCATTTTTAGGACACAGAAAGGTTTTAAGGTGATTCCTTGAATAAAAATTATTTTATTTCAAATTATTACATAATATAATTTCTATTTGATTATATGCATGATACATAATACACTTTTTTTTTTTTGAGTGAAAGGGTCATTTGTTTTACATTTTGTTATTGGGTGAAAGGGTCATTTGTTGTTTTTTTTTTTTTAATAAGTTTGAAGGTTTATATGAAACTTTTTCTAATTCAATGGTGCAACTGAACTTTTAAAATAATTTGAGAGTTTATTTGTTAATTTTTTTTCTCTTTTCTATTACATAATAATGATTAAAAATAGTAGATGTCTATTTAATTTGGGATAGTAATTAATTAAAAGACAAATAATTCTAAAACATGATTTTATTAATTTTATTTAATTAGCATACATTTATTGCCTTATTGGGTGTTGTCTTATTAATGGAACTTCGACGTACTTCCTCTAGGCTTCATAGTGAGGCAAGTCACCAGCTAAGTCCTTCATGGCTTGCGACTGGCCGGAAATCACGCCGGCGGTCGACGGATTCTCCGGCAAGACGATGGAATATCCGTCGTCCCACCCACCCATGTCGTGTGCCATTAGCTGCCACACCATACTCCCCGCCATCGTCCCGCCGGCCTTTGCCAAGTCATATGTGTCCTTGTAAACCGTCGTTAAGAAAGAGTCGCGAACGGCGATGCTAAATCCTCCGTCTCGGCTAGACTTGCCGAATTCGGCCAACACCAATGGCTTCTTCACTACAGTCTTTGCATCTTCCCAGTGGCTCCTCATCCAATTCTCCATGAATTCCATTTGTTCATCGTCACTTTTCCCAGACACCCTAAAGACAAAATTTACTGTTAGGATCGAACGCTTATCACTACGCCAGAAGGGTAAAAACGTAATTTTTTTTTTATATACCACTATATTTTCGAAAAACAGATCAAAATGCTGGATTTGACCTTTCACGGGCCTCTGCCCAAAAATGTAATTGAGTCATTTTGGTTGCAATTAAAGAAGATAGACTTTACCATTGATCAGTGTATGCATGGATGGTGGCAAAGTCAATTTCAGGAACAAGATGGTTACTAATGAAATCAGTTCCCACTTGGTATCCAGGGTTGAATTTCTCCCTATCAGGCTCTGAATCTCCATAAAACCCTTCCATTCCTATCTCCAATAGGTGCTTGTTGTCCAATGATTTCACGTAACTTGCAATTTCTTGAACCCATCCCTATTACAAAAATATTGATTTAAAAACTTTAAGGATTTAAAATTTTACTGAAATATTTCGATACAGAGGTTTACTAACTAATTAATTGGGAAAAAGTTTCAATTAATTCATAAATAAAAATCTTGGTTCAGTTAACCGTTAAAACATTTTCCATATTAAGTTAATTTAGTTTAGAATTAAGACCCTAGATGAATGAGGTGCTTGGTAAATAGATGTTGACTGATAACTGTTAGCTGATTGGATTAATATGTTTGATTAGTTGATAATATTGATTGATTATAGAAAGATGTTTGGTAAATCAGCTGTTAGTTGATAGATGATTATATGTAAAATAGCTTTCTCAAAAAGTTAATCGAAAAAGCTGTTTTGAGCAGTTTTTTGAATTTAGTCTTTTGAAACAATAAACTGTTACAAAAGCTAATTAATCAAACACTTATATTGGTTGTTTAACCAAGTCAAACAACTAATAGTACTCAAACAAGGCAAAATTGGTTTGATAAGCTAACTATTTTACCAAACAGGGCCAAAATAAATTTGGATGCAAATAACATTTTCTAACAAATTAAATGATTTAGCAATTAGTTATTCTTCCCAAACTTCACCCCTATGACCAGTTGAGCTGCTCATGCGGACAGCAATTAGTTATTAAATACACAAGTAGCGACAAGTCTTTTATTTTTATTTTTTTATATGCTTGAAGATCTATCGCCTAATAGTGCGGCATGTAATTGTACTGTTATATATTGATGTGGGCAAGTAATTGTTATTGATTAGATGGAACTCATACTATATATCAATTAATTCATGTGAGGTTGTGAATATATATACGCAAACTTTTCAAAATATAAATTTAATCGCAGTCGTACTCTCGCACATTAAATATTAATTAGAGAGTACATTTTAATTTAGTGTTGCATGCTGGCAGCCGTGGGGCCGTTCGTTCATCTCTACAAGAAAAAAAAAATTAGAAAAAAAAAATTGAAAGAGACGACAATGTACTCACGTTAAGGGTTTTTCCAGAATAATCTTTCTGGCAACGAGGTTCATTCATTAGTTCCCATGCCATGATGATTGGATCATCCTTGTACGCTGTTCCAGTAACTGTATTCACTCTCGTTATAATTTTCTGCAATATTTATATATGAAAAAATTCGTAAGAAAATTTATTGAAATATGAAGTGTTTAATTTATCAACAAATATTATTGTAAGTAAGACACATATATATCGTGTTATAGTAACGTTTTATGTTTAATTAATTACGTACGTACCTTGATATGGTTCTTGTAATAGCCTATGAGAACAGGATTAGTGTAGAAGTCATCTTCGCTATCGATTTGTACGCCTGAATCTCTTGCCCAGTTTGCATATTGTGCTTTGCCTCCAAAGTCATTCCAATTGTTCACAAAGCTTAATATTAAGTGAATCCCATATGTTCTTGCTTCCGAAATCACAAAATCAAGTCCCTACATATACATAGTATAATTGTAATATTTGTCACAAATATATTTTTTAGAATTATCAAAAGGACAAATTAAAACAACTGGTTAAGTTATTAAACAATTTCAACTAAATTGGTCGGGCTGTTAAATTTTTTTTTGAAAACCAGCCAGACTTTTAATTTAGTAACCACAGAGTTACTAGTTCTATTCTTAGTGAAAGTGGCCTATTGGCCTTTTTGAATAGACGGGATTTACCCACTATATATATACTTTTTGATAGTGATTGCAGATTTCTCTGATTACTAAGAAAATATGTTTAAAAATATAATGAACCTGAAAAACACATTCGTCATAAACGCCGGGAGAGGTTTGTAAGGCGTTGTATTGGTTGCCGTCACTGAAGGCCCAAGTCCGGCAAACGGAGAGGCCGGCGGCGGAAGCTTGTTTCAGCACCTCCGTGACTTTGTCCCTCTGATCGGCGTCACTCGCCACATGCATCAGCCAGTACGAATTGAAACCGTTGAAAAGAAACGGCGAGCCGTTGAGCTCGAAACGGTCAGTGTTTCTGGTAATCCAGCCATCCACCCTGGGCAGCCTTTGGTGGGTTAGAGAGTGGGATAGCTCCGCCATGGCGTGCGACTGGGAGGAAAGGACAGCGGCGGTGGAAGGATTTTCCGGCAGGACGATGGAGTACCCGTCGTCCCATCCGCCCATGTCTTGTGCCATGATCTGCCACACTATGGTCCCCGCCATTACGCCGCCGTCCTTGGCGAGGTTGTAAGTCTGGCCGTAAACCGTAGCCATGAAAGAATCTCGGACGCCGACGGTGAACGCTCCTCCGTCCCGGCTTGACTTTCCGAATTCTGCAAGCACTATGGGCTTCTTAAGCACAGTCTTTGCATCTTGCCAATGGCTTGTTATCCACTTCTCTAGAAATTCCATCTGAACATCCTCACTTTTCCCGGAAACCCTGTAAATCATTCACATATATTGTTAGGATCAACGCTTACCATTTAAGCCAAAAACTATAGCTAGTAGTGAAAAAGCAACTTTTTTCTTATAAACAGCCGTCACATTTTCGATAAGCTGGATACTGAACTTGGTCTTTTAAACCCTTTATTTGCCTCCGTCCAACAATTCCCAGTCACAGGTGATAGATTAGGCCTTTACAGGCCACCGCCCAACAATCCCAGCAGCCAACAGGTGCTAGACTAGACCTTTATTGGCCTCCGCCTAACAATCCCAGCCACCAGGTGCTAGATTAAGCCTTTACCGGGCTCGGCCCAACAATCCCTAGCTACCATATGCTAGATTGGGCCTTTACAAGCCTTCGCCCAACAATCCCCAAACACAGATGCTAGATTAGGCCTTTACCAGCCTCAGCCCTACAATCCCACCCACCAGGTGCTAGACTAGGGCCTCTGCCCAACAATCCCAGCCACCAGGTGCTAGACTAGGCCTTCATCGACCTCCGCCCAACATACATGTTAATTTATATGCATCAAGCGTAGCTTTGAGCTTGCAAAGATAGATATGGTGTTGAATTGCTTACCATTGATCAGCATATACATGGATGGAGGCGAAGTCAATCTCATGAATAAGGTGGTTGCTAATGAAATCAGTTCCCACTTCATAACCAGGGTTGAACTGCTTCCTGTCAGGCACTGAGTCTCCATAAAATCCCTCCATTCCTATCTCCAACAGGTGTTTGCTGTCTATTGACTTCACAAAGCTTGCAATTTCTTGAACCCATGCCTGCAGCCCGGCCGTCCGGTTTTTTAATCAAATGTATATATAATACATGGATTTATAATGTTAAACAAACTACTAGAGTAGTATACACGTTTGTGATGAATCTCATTACGTATTACTCCTATTAGAGTAAGGCAAATTATACTGTGCCACATAAATAAATGTTTATTTTTAATACATAGAGTATATTAAAAGTTTATTATTTAATTTGTATACATATTGAAGATTTATTATTTAGTAGTACTAATAATGAACTTTCAGTACACAAATAATAAACTTTCAGAAAATGTATATTCAATGTATTAAAAATAAACTTTTAATATATTAAAAATATACTTTATATCAATGATTCACAGTGGACCATGGTCCAATTTAAGTTTTTCTAACATTATAATTACAAAAAATAAAAAATAAAAAAAATGAGAGACGATATTTGTCAACTTTTCTGTTGGTTTGACTTTTTTTCCCATAAAATGTTTGTTTGGTGGTTGGTTATGTTGTGGGAAATGCAATAGTGATGATATATATTGCTCACATTAAGAGTATTTCCAGAGTAATCGGCTTGGCAGCGAGGCTCATTCATTAGTTCCCATGCCATCACGGTTGGATCATCCTTGTATGCAACTCCAGTAATTGTGTTGTTTCTTGTTATAATTTTCTGCAAAATAATAATAATAATAAATACATGCAAAATTTAAACAAAAATTATAAAATAAAAATAAAAATAAATACACGTACAAGCCATGCATGTTAGAGTTACTATTCAAAGCAAGCATTTTGTCTATTCATCATTTAAAAAAATTATGGAAGCTAGTTATTAGATAATACGGAGTATATTTTAAGAGGCTAAAGTTTAATTTGATTAAAAAAAATATGTAACTCACTATTTTATATGATTTCGTACCAATAATGCATTTTTGCATGCATGCATTCTAATATAAATTATAATAATTTAGTCTCATGAGTTAGTTAGACTTAATGGATTATTTTACCTTGATGTGGTTCTTGTAATAATCTTTGGGGACAGATTGAGTAAAGAAATCATCGTCATTGTTAACCTGTGCTCCTGAATCTCTAGCCCATTGTACATATTGTGCTTTGCCTCCAAAGTCATTCCAATTGTTCACGAAGCTTAATATCAAGCGAATCCCATATTTTCTTGCTTCCGAGACCACAAAATCAAGCCCCTAGGATACCATTATAAATATAAATATTAAACATATAGTCCTGACTATCAATTTAGATTTTTAGGTGAGACAGAACACATACTTCAATTCTACAAATTCAGAAAAAAATTACAAAATAGAATGTCAACCAAGTGGAAAATCATTGCTGAAAATTATGAAATTTCCGACCAACTGAAAGTGATCTTAAATAAGTTGAAAGCAAAAAGTGGTCGAAAATAGCAATAAAGGTTTTTCTGAATACCAAAAGCTGTTGGAACAAGGCTTTCGACTTGATTTAAGATCAGGTGGTCGGAAATTTCATAATTTCCAGCCGTGAATATAGCAAAAAGTTAACCTGAAAAACACGTTCGTCATAAACGCCAGGAGATATTTGCAGTCCATTGTAGCGGTTTCCGTCGCTAAAAGCCCAAGTCCGGCACACCGATAGGCCGGCGGCTGAGGCATCCCTGAGCACCTCGGTGACTTTGTGCCTCTCGTTGGGGTCACTCGCAACGTGCATCAGCCAATATGAGTTGAAGCCGTTGAAAAGAAATGGTGAACCGTTGAGCTCGAAATGTGCATCCTTTATTGTAACCCATCCTTCAACTTCTGATATTTTTGGCTGTGTAGTAGCTTTCATGAAAGAAGCCATTGGCACGAGTGAGAAGTACGTGTGTTTGAGATTGCTAATGTTTTGAAGATCGATCAGAAGGTGTGAGCTGATTGGTTGGATTTTAGGGTTATTTATAGTATTTTAGGATGGAAGATAGTTAGAAGTAATTTACTAAAAATAGAATGTTAGGGTGGTTTGCTTGTGCGTGCTAGCTAAAATTCTTCGTAAGCTTTTTTGTCTTTATGAATTATATAATTGGATTGTATATTAGTTATTATGCAATGATACTTATGCTTAATTAATGGATTCTCTCACTTATTGGACTAAGCTAGTTTTTTAAAAGAGTTTTTATTTTGCGTTTGAGTACTTATTGTGTGTGTGTTTTTTTTAAAGATCAATGTGTGACAAAAATGACTACTTTAAAAAGGGGCTATCGGAGGCTAAAAGTGAAAGAGGTCCATATGAAGGAATTATCCATAGTACATGCCCTTGAGAACGTTGGCTTTTCAAAGGGTAAACAATAAAATATTGTGTAGTGGTATTTGAATTTGATATGTTCTTTTACGTACTGAACTACTGTTTTTGGACGAGTTTTATTGAGTTTGAATGCTTATCATCACTTTACTGGTGTACGTGTTTACGATTATAAAATAATCATTGTCACTTTCCATAATTTGTATTGATGCTTGAAGGATGGTGAAGTATAATGTAGTTATTATTAGTTAATATATTAATACTGTTATAAAATTATATTGCATAGTTATTGTTTTGAGCAAGAAATTAAAAGAAAAAAAAAACTATATAAACAACAAATTAAAAACAAAAAGCAACAAGATTTTATGGGGTGTTGAGTATAGAAATTAAAAGAGCAGTTATTTCCGTTACGTTGAGAACTAAAAATGTCAGTTTGAGCATTTATGAAAGGTGTTTTGGTTGCAAATTGGATAAGGATTATGACGACGGCGGCAAGGAGTTTTGGTTGCAGACACCATACCTCAACCTCTCTTTCAGTTGATAAGAATGGGAGAGAGTTCAGTATGGTCAATAATATTTAATAGGTATACATACTCAATTAGTTTTTATGCTATTGAAAAATGTTTAATCTAATTTAGTAATTTTTATATTATAAATTTGATCAATTTAACCTTTGTACTGTTACAAAATAGAATAATTAAGTAAAATTATTAATATCATTAGTTAAAGGGTTAAATACTTAAATATGCTAACATGACTAGAGTTAGAGTATATGGTGATTTTCAAATCACTAATTAATAATATGCTAAAATAAAAATATTTAAAATATCATATCACTAACATAAATGGATTCCATGGCATTGGAATAATAATAACATACTGTAATTTTAAATTCAATTCAATAAGGTAGTTTATAACTTGGATATATATTAAAATATTAATATAAAAAAAATCAAAAAAATAACTTCCTTTTTTTGAAAATCAACCAATAAATGATTGTATTAATGAAGCAAAACTGCAATTGAGTCATGAGGGATTGAATCCCAATACATAAACTGGTCCTGAGAGAAGGCTAAAGAAGTTAAAACATGTGCATGTGAATTAACATGCCTAGTAACATAATTTAATGAACAATAAGTAAAAGAAGTCATTAAAGACCTACATTCGTCCACTACAACCCCAACATACGACATTATAATCGTTGACTCCTGTCGTATAGCATTCTAAAGTTGCGTGCAATCCGTGAGTAGATCCAAAGACGTACTAAATCACATACTATCAAAATTACAATGATAAACAAATAATATAATAATTAATTAATACTAACTTTCAATACTAATTAATGTATATTGTTTGGTAATATATGATTCTTATTATACTACTAGTTTCACAGCATTGTGCAACTGATTTAAAGCCCAATGCTGTATTTAAATAGATAATTTAAAGTATATCAATGTAATATCATATAGAAAAAATTTATTATAGTTGGTATTAAAATTAATGTTTAATTCGCATTTTTCTAAAAACAATTATCTAAATATTTATTGTAGTTGGTATGGTATTAGGTAGTATATACTACTTTTGGTTGAAATTACTCTAAGTTTTGTTATTTGGTTTTTGGATATGTTTGTTATTGTCTTTGTCTTCATTGCTTGTCCGTTTTTTTTTTTTTTAATTGGTAGTGTCCCATATGTAATTGGGTTACTGGTGCTAGTTTGTAAAAAGAACAAATTTAGTTTAATCAGTTTTGTTACCTTATCCTTTTGCGTGGGTGCATGCCTTGAGCACTTGACCCCAAATCCCTGCCACCAATTCAGTTAGCGTCGCCACTGCCTACTAAATGGCCTGGGTAGTTGCCTGGAGATCCACAGGTGGTACATACCAGTGTACCGGGGCCTTGATGTCCTCCACCACAGCTATTGTTGAGTTGGTCCCAATGCCGTCATGTGAGTACGTCGGCCAGGCGTCCATGCTAGCATTGCCGTTGTGGTGCAGGCCACGGGAACCACGGGATCTAGATCGTGCTATCTTCTTGTATGATCAGACACATGAAGTGTTCATCATGTTTGAGAGTTGATCTCAGGCTCTCAATGAAAGCACCACTGACGGTAAATATGTTGCCAGAGTATATTTGGAAAGAATAATAAAGTAGAATTGTTTAATAATTTTGGTACAAAGTGTTGCATGTGTCCAAATTTTGAGTGTGTCCCCCTCAAATGGGTCTTGACTTTTATACAATACAATGATAATGGTTACAATAATGATAGGAACGGGCAACGACCTCCTAATAAGGGTGGCGCTCTCCTTCATAAGTGCTCTAGTCGTCATAACTGCTAAATGCATTGGCTCGATCTACGTTTGATGCTCAGCTTTGGCCGTTATTGTTTGACCGTCTTAACTGCCTTGACCGGTCCGGGTCGAGTCTAGTTGCATGTCATATTATATTACAGAAGTCATTTTTCGAAGTTTCTAAATATTAGGACTCTATGTATATGAGTCTGTTTAGAACTTCTTATCCTTGTCACACTGTGACTCTCTACTTCTTATCATTGTCACACTGTGACTCTCTATTCTATATATTCACATCATCTGATCTCATTGTAATTAAGTTCAGAAAATATAATACAATCAGTTCTCATCTGGTATCAGTTAGCTAGGGTTTTGTGATTCATAAAATTAAGAAGATGCAGCGCTGCGATGGCAACCTTAATTACCGTGGAGGTCAGCAACGTGGCTATGATGATCCGTGTCAAATTTGTAAACGTTTTGGTCACACGGGAGCCAATTGTTTTTGGCGCTATGATGATCTGTGTCAAATTTGTAAACGTTTTGGTCACACGGGAGCCAATTGTTTTTGGCGCTATAATGATCCGTGTCAAATTTGCAAAAGTTTCGGTCACACAGGAGTCAACTGTTTTCGGCGATATTCAGGGGCTCCGGGTTCTCAGGCTAATTTGGTGTTTCAGAATGGTTTAGTTGCTAAAACCTCGTCAAATTCTCATACTTGGGTTCCGGACACTGAAGCCACAAATCATGCAACTCCGAACATCGCTGCCCTTTCTACATCGGAGAAGTACACTGGTGATGACACTTTACGTGTCGGTGACGGTATGGGTTTATCTATTAGTCATGTTGGCCATGCCTCTTTTAATACCCCTTCTAGATCATTTACATTGTCTGATATACTTCACGTTCCGCGTTTGTCTAATTCTTTATTATCTGTTCAAAAGTTTGCATCCGATAATAAAGTCTTTTTTGAGTTTCACCCCTCCTTTTTTGTTGTAAAAGATATCAATACCAAGGAAATACTTCTTCGGGGCAATAGTTCGGGGGGACTATACACACTTTCATTACCTAGTTCGTCTCCGTCAGCGTTTATTTCCGCTCGTGCCTCGGCTTCCACTTGGCACAATCGTCTAGGTCATCCTCATAACCGTGTTCTTAGCCATATACTTCGTTCTTGTTTGGTTAGTGGGTCTCGTGATAATATTCGTTGTCATAATTCTTTATGCAATGCGTGTCAATTAGGCAAATCTGCCCGTTTTCCCCTCCCCCGTGTTGCTTCCTCTAGTTCTCAAGTCCTAGATCTTATTTACACAGACATTTGGGGTCCTGCGCCCACTTTATCTACTTCTGGCTTCCGTTATTTTGTGATCTTTGTGGATGACTATTCCCGTTATACATGGTTCTTTCCTATGAAATTAAAGTCTGTTCTTTATGTCATCTTTGATAAATTTCGTACTCTTGTTGAACGGTCCTTTAATTGCAAAATAAAGGCCATTCAGTCTGATTTAGGTGCTGAGTACAAAAAGTTGCATTCTTTGTTTGTTCAATTAGGAATTCAACATAGACAATCCTGTGCCTATACACATGAACAGAATGGTCGTGTTGAACGAAAACATCGTCACATTGTTGAAACTGGTCTGGCTCTTCTAGCTCATGCCTCTGTTCCTTTGAAATTTTGGGATTTTGCCTTTGAGACTGCTGTCTATTTAATTAACAGAATGCCATCTTCTGTATTAAATAACTCCAGTCCTCATCTCCTGTTACATAAATCCCCTCCTTCCTATCTTTTTCTTCGTGTCTTTGGGTGTTTATGCTACCCTCATCTTCGACCATATAATCGTCATAAGATGTCATACAGGTCTTCTCCATGTGTCTTCTTAGGTTATCCTGAGTCCTTTAGGGGGTACAGATGCATGGACTTACATACTAATAAGATTTACACATGCAGGCATGTCAGATTTGATGAAGAAGTTTTCCCCTTTGCTACTAAAACTTCTTTGCAGGATCTATCTACTCCGTTTTCTGGACCTTGGGCGGAATCTGTTCTCAGTCACAGCACACCTATTCCTGCCGTGTCCAATGATGAGCTGCCAGAACCGCCGCTACCTGCATCATTCGAACCAGCCGTGGTTCCTGGACAGGCTGCCTCGTCGGGTGATCCTATGGAGCCTGTTGCTCGCCGGCGAGGCCGTCCACGTGGGCGGTCCATCAGGCCCAATGTCCGTACTCACTCTATGGCCACTCGCAGCAACGCAGATGCTCCTCTTTTTGCTCTAGCA